AAGCAGCAGTAGCAGTAGTAGTAGTAGCAGCAGTAGCAGTAGCAGTAGCAGTAGCAGTAGCAGTAGCAGTAGCAGTAGCAGTAGCAGTAGCAGCAGCAGTAGTAGCAGCAGTAGGAGTAGCAGTAGCAGTAGCAGCAGTAGCAGCAGCAGTAGTAGCAGCAGCAGTGCAGTAGCAGTAGCAGTAGCAGTAGCAGTAGCAGTAGTAGCAGCAGCAGGAGCAGGAGCAGGAGCAGGAGCAGGAGCAGGAGCAGTAGCAGTAGCAGTAGCAGTAGCAGTAGCAGGAGCAGAAGCAGCAGCAGAAGCAGCAGCAGCAGTAGCAGTAGCAGTAGCAGTAGCAGTAGCAGTAGCAGTAGCAGCAGCAGCAGCAGCAGCAGCAGGAGCAGTAGCAGTAGCAGTAGCAGTAGCAGTAGCAGCACCAGTAGCAGCAGTAGCAGTAGCAGTAGCAGTAGCAGTAGCAGTAGTAGCAGCAGCAGGAGCAGGAGCAGGAGCAGGAGCAGGAGCAGGAGCATAGCAGTAGCAGTAGCAGTAGCAGTAGCAGTAGCAGTAGCAGCAGTACAGCAGTAGCAGTAGCAGTAGCAGTAGCAGTAGCAGTAGCAGTAGCAGTAGCAGTAGCAGTAGCAGTAGCAGTAGCAGCAGCAGTAGCAGTAGCAGTAGCAGTAGCAGTAGCAGTAGCAGTAGCAGTAGCAGTAGCAGTAGCATCAGCAGCAGGAGCAGGAGCAGGAGCAGGAGCAGGAGCAGGAGCAGGAGCAGGAGCAGGAGCAGGAGCAGGAGCAGTAGCAGTAGCAGTAGCAGTAGCAGTAGCAGAGGCAGTAGTAGCAGTAGCAGTAGCAGTAGCAGTAGCAGTAGCAGTAGCAGTAGCAGTAGCAGTAGTAAGGTGGTGGTCGTGGTAGTGCTGGTAGTGGCCGCCGTCGCCGCGGCAATATTCAATATAAACGTATATAATCAGACATGGTCAGAGCCGTATCGATCTAAGAACGCTTTAGAACGACAACTTTCAGATCCGGGCCATCCCAGTCGTACCATCCTTGCTGCCACCTTCCGGGGGCTTCTTGGAGCGAAGCTCTGGGGCTTCGAGATTCAACTTTCCAGGGTTTCAGGGTTTAGGGTTCGGGAGTTTAGAGTTTAGGGTTCAGGGTTCGGGAGTTTAGGGTTTTTTCGACGACACTTCTCACCTTTTCCGTTCGCCACCGGTCCAGAAAGCGGGCTGCCGCTGAGTGTGCAGGGTTGAGGGTTCAGGGTTCGGGAGTTTTGATATTCGGGCTTCGGGGGTTGAGGGTCTCGGCGCTCAAACTCGGACTCGGACGTTCCAGGTCTGCTCCACGTCGTGAAGTTTAGGGCTTGGGATTTTTCAGAACAAACAGATCAACCCGAACCCTAAACCTCAACCCCGAAAAGGTTCCAAATGCCAAACTCTGAACCCTTCCGGCCCCTCTCAAACCCCTATCCTCGTAAACCCTAAACTTAACGGGTTTCGGGTTTACGGGGCCCTCAACGGCCCTAAACTGTAGACCATAGGCCCTACAACCCTGGAGCCCAAAAAAACCTTAAACCCTGAACCCGCCTACAAGACGTTCATTCTAACCCTTATAGTGCTTCTCGTCTCGTTTGTCAAGCCCTTCTACGGAGCCCTCCCACACGCGAGACATCCCGAAACTCAGATGTAGTAACTCAGGGGGGGCCTTCGGTTATACTGTACCTATTGCACTTTACTTATACCAAGAAACCCCAAGGGAGAGTATAGGTAACCATTCAGGCCCCTGTAGTAAATAAGACAGCCGGAAGCATTAAGTCACCCACCGAACGTCTCAGTGTTTAGGGCTAGAGTGCGGTGCTTAGGGTTGAATTTTACTGCAACCCCCGAAGCAAACTCAAAGCACTTAAGAAATAAATTTCTGAAACCCTTTCCTTGAATTCCAGGATCTTGAATCAGTGAGCCCTAAAACACCTAATGCGACGTCCTCGAGCCAGGGTTTGGGGGTATACTTAGAATGGCAACCCAAAATTAGTATAGGTAACGATGCAAACTCCTATGACTCGTAAAGCCTCTGGCAGGAAAAGCCTTTCGAAACCGTACCCTAAACATCTATCGCCAAACCTGAGCCCATGGCCTGTCTGCTTCACCAGAGCTACAGAGGCCACCTTGGCAGATTCTGGAACAAAAAAAGCCTCGAATTGAAATCGTAACAGCCTATAGGGTGTTGGGACAAATATGCGACATACATCTAAACCCTAGAACTAACACCTTTTTCCTGAAACCTTGGACCTTCAAGCTAGCTTCTGTGCTGTAGCATTCCTTGGTTTCGGACCAGGCCTCAAAAACTTTGCAGCTGTTGTCGCTTTTCACCAACTTCCGCACGTATGCGGTAGTTGCAACGTTAGGTTTAGCTCGGAAGTTCATGTCCGTCCTTGCCAACACTAATGGCCACAAAAAGCACATGCCTTGGCCATCAAAGCGTAAATAAACATGAGATGATTACCCACAAACACAAAGCTCGCTCAATCCTGATCTGCAAACTAGAAACGCAACACTGGAGTCTTTGAAACTTGTGTTATCTTATCATCGGTCTACGGTCTAACGATCGTCCCTGGGCTTTGAAAGGGTCTCCGGAAGCGCGATAGAAGGTTCGAGCTTGGGGCTTAGGAGCGTCGTCATTCTGGTCTTAAATGTAAAGCACTCATAGTCTAGTATTTCAGGATTTCGGGTTCCAGAGCTTAGGAATTTTAGGTTCCGGGGGCCCCGAGCTGCAGTTAAAGCAACAGCCAAATCTCTCAGGCCCGGGCTATTGGATGCCATGATGCTGAGAAAAAGGTTGAGTGTCAACAGCGCGTCGCTGCCCGCCTGAAACATGGGGCCCGCGTTTCCACGCTCTCGCCACAGGGCGCATTCAAAGCGTTTGTGGGCTTGGGGTGCCGTCCGGGTTAAGTACAGATTCCTGCACTTTGCCATGATTTCTGCAAAAACCCTGAAGCGCACACGAACAAGTTCCATGCGCACTGAAACCTAAGAGCCTTTAGTGCACCGGAAACCTTCACGCCGGGAAACAATGAGGCGCATGAGGCCCAAGCTTTATCGATATTTAGCGTCTGGGAACCCACACCCTCAACCTCCCTAACATTGAGGTCTGCATATCTGGAAGTAGCATTCATATGCACATCTATATATATATATATATTATATTATATTATATTATATTATATTATATTATTTTATATTATATTATATATTATTATAGTATATTATATTATCTTATGTTGTGTTATATTATGTTATATTATGTTATATTATATTATTATATTATATTATTATATTATATTATATTATATTATATTATATTATATTATATTATATTATATTATATTATGTTATATTATATTATATCATATTATATTATATTATATTATATTATACTATATTATATATAAAATATACACGTAGATATTATAAACATAAGTATATATATATATATACATATACATATACAACTTTACTCTACTCGGAATCAGCCCCCGTATTGAATCATAACCCCAAATCCTAATCCTGAATTCGTTAAGCTAAACCCTAACCCGTCTTGTGCCGTCAGGACACCGTGTGGCTCCGGCCGTAGCGTTGAACTCCGAGACGTCGAGCCCAGGCGTCCAGGGAGCCAGTGGGCCTTGGGTTGAGGCCTAACCCTCAGGATCCATGTACCCAAATACGGTTGATGATATAAAACTTTGCCTTACCGTAAGGACCCTAAAAGATGGGAATTATGGTATATTCCTTATTCTGGGTATTGCAGGATTTGTATCATTAACCGTAGTATGTACTATATGGGCACATGGATCCTTAGGAATCCTTAGGGTTAAGGAACCGTATAAGCCGTGTCGCTGAGTGAACACGTGCACGCAAACACGCTGGGCGCAAACGTGGTCGACCATCAAGGACACTAAACAGAATGCATGGGCTGCTGGGTCTGCAGGTACATGTCAGACGTCACGGCAAGAGTCTGAATTGCATGTTGGCCACGTATATGTCGAACCCTTTGCAGCATTGCAGATCGCAGAACGAAACAGCAACAACAGCCCAAGGAATCACTTCGTGACAGCTGTCATTGGTAGTGAAAGTCCAATGAAGAAAGCTATCTGCATCCAAGCTCACCACAACACGCTTTGGATGGAGCAACACACAATTGGTTATGCTATGTCTGCGTGGTTCGTAGTAGGGAGTGGGGGAATGGATCCCTTTTGCAGTCCCTATATAATCCCCAATGTTAGCCCCCATACCCATAACCCATTCCCACATTCTACAAAGAGCCAAACAGTATGTAGAACATCCTAAGTAATATAGGGGCTTTAATAATTAGAATAGGGTTGTGGGGTATAAACTACTATAACAAAAATTAGAATAAGGAACCCCACAATAGTATTGGTAACTATTTGACTATTTAGGCCCCCACAGTAACCATGGGTAACTCGGCTCTCGCCTTCTTCAAGGGTTGATGAAAGAGTGCGGATGCCGAGGTGCAAATACTCGCGAAGCTCGTGGAGACGTCGACCTAGGTTGGCCGGAACTATACGCAGGAGTATCAGAGGCATTCTACTTAATCCGGCTCCTTTTGAAGTGGTTCCTTCAAACGGTGCTGGGAGGCAGAGTCTGCAGCTTGGATATTTGTTGAAGGCTCTTTTCCATTCGCGTGTGCCTGAGTTCAGAGCCTCTTCCTAGTTGATAGTTCAAGGTCGCAGACTCAGAAACCTGAATAGCTGGGAAGCCCTGTGCAAATGCCGCGATCACGATCCAGACAGCCTCGCAAGCAGACATCTTACAGTTCGAAAATGGCGGATTAGGGCTTGGGATAATGATCAAGCTGGAGCCAAATCGCAGCCAACCAATCTTTTTTACCACCGGGCGTTCCAAAATCAAAAGTTACAGGTCGTCAATGAGCCTTAGATTTCAAGGCTGTTTGAAACAAGACGTCGCAGGCCGCTGAGTCCCGCTGCCCTCAGTTCCACAGCGCGTGCCCTCACGAACACTTCCAAGGATACTGTCTGGTCGAAATTACCTTCAGGGGTGCCGACACATGCTGGACAACTGAAACCAGAACATGAGAATCGGCAAGAGCGTGCATGAAGCACTCGCAATTACCGCAAAACAGCAATAGCAGCTGTTGTCGTTCGGGTGGTGGTAGTGGTGGTGGTGGTGGTGGTGGTGGTGGCGATGGCGGTGGCGATGGCGGTGGCAGTGTCGGTGGCGGGGGTGGTGGTGGTGCTGGTGCTGGCAGTGCTGGAGATGGATAGGGGTGATGGTGACGGTGGCGGTGATAGTAGCAATTGCCGTCGTCGTCGTCGCAGTATAGTAGGACGTAGTCGTCGCGGTGCGTAGCCGAATTGTCGCCAACGTCATGGTCGTGGCAGCAATTTTCGTCGCAGGAGCTTCAACATGTTCGTGTCAAGGCCCAAAGGCTGCAACAGCACGAAATGCAGGTGTTGCGAAACGGGCGGCTGTCAAAACATGGTCCCTTTTTGGGTACCCTAAACATTAGGTGTCGTACTAAATTAGGAACCCGGAAGGGGGCCATAATTTTGACAACCACCCAAATCAACCAGAAGATGCTCCAGCCTGACTGGAGCAGTAGACAATGACCTCCTGGCCATCCCCCGGGTCAAACTCGATGGAGTCGTAGCCTGAAGACTGTCTGGTGCTTACTCGGGAATGGGGGAATGGATCTCTATAGTAGTCTCTCTCTCTCTCTCTCTCTCTCTCTCTCTCTCTCTCTCTCCATATATATATATATATATATATATATATATGTAATCTTCAATAATCGTCCCCATAACCCATTCCCCCATTCCCTACTAAGAACCAGACAGAAGAGCCGCAAGGTGCTGACGCCAGGGCTCTCACGGACTTGCGCCAGCGAACCTCTGAAAGGCCTTCTATGATGTTTCTGAATGACCGCAGCTCCGCTGCTGTTGACGACAATGATTATTTTCCGCGACAAGTCTAGTCGCCGTGATTTTCGAAGTGCTGAAATGTGACGGCTCGTAGGCATTCGAGAAGTTGCTCAAACAGTGGCACAGCTTTCCAGTAGTCTTATGCCTTTTGCAACACACACACACACGTAAACAAGACACACACACACACACACGCACGCAAGGGCAGATCTATGGATGGTGAGCCCTGGCTTGCCCGACATACTGCAAGCACTGAAGCCTAAACCTGGCCTAGTTCTCTCTAAACCCCTGACTCCCTAAATAAGACCCCAAACCCCTAAAATCCCTGGAACTACCCCATTACTCCATAAGTAAGAAGTCCTCAAGGCCCTCAAAGCCTCAGCCGAAAGAGCCCTAAACCCTATTGTAGGGGCCTGTAGAATTCGAAGCAGGTTTTGGGGCCCATCATACTATAATATTGATAAGGAACACCCGAAATAGTATGTACATTATCTTCCCACAAACCCTACACCCTGAACCCGAAACCCTACCACAAACGTTCCCCGTGGAGGAGCCAGCGCGCAGGAGGCTCTGCCCCTGCAAGGACTGCCCATTGACCTTGCACTTGCGATCCCCGTAGGCCACGTTGCCGACACCTTGGAGGTTCAGTGTTCAGGATTCAGGGCCTAAGTATTGCTTTGTTAGGAGTCCAGATTCGATGTTTAGATTTGGGGTTTAGTTTAGTGCCTGGGGCTTGGGGTTTCGGGTCAGGGAACACCTGCTAGGGTCATAAGGCACGGTTCCTAAGTTCTAGAGGTTTACACTGGGGTGTACCAAGCTCGCTCCAGGGTTCTTTTATAGGGTATACACTCTGAGTTGTTAGTTGGACCAGCAAGTCAAACCATGTGGGTCTATAGGTAAGAACGGTCGAATTGCGTCATGAGTTATCAGGAGTTCGGGCTTGTGGCTTAAGCAGGGTCAGATCGGATCCGGGGTTGCCCTTGCTTCAGCTGCTGCTGCCGCCAGTAGAACTTTATATGACAGTAAGCAAGCAGCACAAACGTGTGACATCGTTGCAGTTCTGAACAGTTGGAAAGCAAAAGAGCCATCCACCCAACGATCGTCAAGACACGGACGCGAGCTTCGATCATGAAGCCCTTGTGCGAGTCAGGTCCGATCGCTTTGGTGGTGGTCGCATCCGGGCTCCTGCATCGCGACAACAACAAGTACATCGAAGACTAACACACACACACACACATTTGTATTTACGTATATGTATGTAGGAAAAGGCTAATTACATATATATATATATATACACACACATACGTACATATATATATATATATGTATGTATGTATGTATGTATGTATGTATGATTTATGATATGTATGTTGAATGAGTATACAGTTTTACTATATTATATATATATATATATGACATACAGTAACTTCCAGCATCAATTGACGAACCTTGTGCACTCAATGCAACCCTAGAGGGGGGCACACCACCGGCCTGCAACATTGCTCTGAGCCGACACTGCAGCCTGATGTCGATGAGCCACATCTCTGAAACCCCACCTCCTGAACACCCAATTATCAATCCTTCGGAAGCACCCTGACTCCTATTGACCCTTTAAGCAGCACGCTGCAGGCAAGGGTTGCGGCTCCTGGCAAAGTAGATGCCGCCGCCGCACCAGCCAGAATGGCCCAGGCGGAAGCCATCTCTCAGAATCCTTGGTTAGGGATGCAGCATGCAAGGAAAACAACTTGAACTGCTCCGATATTGCCCCCAAAGCCCTCAACCCTCCCTCAATCGTAATCACAGGAGTCTGTGCACGGTTTTACAGCCAGTTGGTGCCCAGCCTTGATCCTGATGACTGAAATCGCAATCCGACTGTTCCAATCCACGTTGTCACCGACTCTCTAATGCAACGAGGAGGTCGAGGGTATTGTTCGATTCTACACGCTTTGTGCTGTATACAGGCTTCTCTCTCTCTCTCTCTCGCTCCCTCTCTGCCGTTGCACCCAATACAAGCATTCAACGTGCTCTTCTTTCTGCAAACTTGTCTATGTAGTATAGTGAAGGGTACGTTGAGCTTGGATCAACAGAACCCGACAGGTTTTGAGCAACCCACTGTATGTGTCTTTGTAACTTCGACAGCAACCGTAACTCCTACACCCTGAACCCAAAACCCCTGAATAGAATAGCCGGGCATCTGCGGGCCGATGTTGCAGCCAGTCTGCGGGGAGACACATTTAAGGGCGATGGCTGTGGACATATGATTGCAGTTGCTTTCATACCAGCAAGTTTGAGCTTGTGATGGTGCTACCTTCACTGTACACTATTACTGCGAATGCTGCTGCTTATGCTGCACTATTGCCACACTGATGGCTCGGCTGGTGGCTGCAACGCATCTTCGTGGTATCGTACTGGCATTTCTACGAGCACTACGTCTGTGGTTATTGCCAATTACTATCATGGAGCAATGGCGCCATGACCGCGGTTGCACGACTTAAGACACTGAACCGGTAAAATTGCTGGCCCGGAGGGAGCTGGGAGTGAGGAGGGTACTTATGCCGAGGGAGAGCCTTCAAACATGTCTCTAAGCTCGAAACGCTGAAATTGACTGGTCCAGCCTGGTGGTAGACAGTAATCACATCTCCCATCGAAGCACGGTTCCTCGGATCTGCACATGCGCACTTTGCAACGAAATATTTCTTGTCACTACTACTTCATTGGGATAGGATTAAAATTGTACATTTGTATTCCTTATTGGGTTTAGGTACCCCAAAAAATGCAAAATGTTACCCAACAATGACAAAGACTAGTCATTAAAGCTGCCAGTATACAAGCCGCATGGACCCATAATTCAACCTTCTTGCTTTCTCTGAGCCCTTGGTTGTAAACTATACTAATTGCTGCAGCGAAACAAAAAGGCTCAATCGGAACACTCAAGCAATACCCAGCTGCTGCTTTTGTCAGAAGAACAGTAGCTTTCCCGGGTACCTTCACGATTTAGCTTTCCTGTTTTGCCAGTCCGCTGCCTTCCCGAATTATTGCTCTACAACTCGAGGGAAGTGCCCACAACCAAAACCGACACCCGATTGCCTCCGGTCGAGGTCTGCCTTGCCTTGTAATGTCTCGACAACGCATGGCCTCAAGGCCTGCGCGGGCTTTTAAGCCCGAATTACCAATACTATTTTTGGTTTGTTCCTGATTATATTTTATAGTAGAATATACCCCACAACCCCATTCTAATTATTAAGGCCCTTATATTAAGCCTGAAACCCTACTTCAGCCCATAGTACCTGCTTGAGTCTGCTTGAGGCAACGCAAGGCAGGCCAGGGCAGTAGAGTAGGGGAAAAGTACGCAGGTACTGGGCGCGGGCATGCTAGAGACATAGCTTCAGTTGGAATGGTCGAGAGAGACACGCACAACAGAAGTTTGATGACTAAGGAACACTGTGCTGAGTGACACTTCGATTTCCACTCGCTGGAGCTGTTTGCAGAACCGAGCTGTATGTGAACCCTAAACCCTTTTACACCTGGACTATGCATATGCCAGGAACCGAGGCGCCGACTGTGCTGAACCCTAAACCCTAATCCCTAAACCCTGAGCTCTGAGTGCGGCCAGAAGTCGCACAGCTGTCAGAGCCGGAGCCTGAAGAAGATGAGGAAGGCGGTGGAGAAGGGTTGTGATGCGAGTGACCTGTCGCGACGCAGGTGTGCCAGTGGATAACCTTGGAGAGCGGCGCTTCCCCATACAGATGGATTCTTTTTCTACGGAAAACCACAGTGAAGGGCGCGATGATCAGAACAGCCGCAAGTGCAACCACAAATACTGTGATGCAAAAACCCTAGAATGAGTGACCACTTACTACGGTTGATGATATAAATCCTGCATTACCTTAACGACCCTAGACTATGGAAACCATGGATCGGTCATGCAGGATTTATATCATCAGCAGTAGTACTTGGCAAATCACCACGAAATCTTCTGCCAGGTGGCGGGCCACCACCTCACTGAACGACAGGCTGGTGGATCATAGCGCGCATGCCAGCGGCAGCAGGAATTCCCCGGTCCGCAGTAGCCGGAACAGGAACCCGCACCATGGCATCGGTACCAGCAATTGGCGCCTGCATGCCAAAGGCCCATGGATCCCAAGTCATCCTCCTCTGGTCCAGCGCCCAGGGAGTCCGAAGAATCTGAGGGCGCCGGCATCTCTGGGCAGAGTGGGTCACATTCAATCCACTTGGGTGAGCCGGGCGGCACAGCTTCCTTTCCCTTGAATGCTTGAAGAACTTCCTCTTCCGAACCATAAGCATGTTCTTCTTCTGATGCATTTGGCTGGCGACGATGCTGTAAGGCATTCAAGGCGCAAGAGCCCTCTGCACACTCATCGTTGAACTCTAGGAGGTCTTCTGGGAGGCTCTCGCCGCTGCAAAGCGACAAGGCCGAGGCAATCGCCCAAAGGCGCAGCATGAGGCGAGGTGAGGCCAGGAGGAACGCTGAAAGCAAAAGAGAGAAAGACTTTCTAGTGGCCGATACTCGCCACTTTTCGGGCAGAACACGGCTTCAATCATATAAGCCTAGCAGCACCGGCAAGCAGCTGCCCTCCCTGATCACTCCCTGATAATTACCTGCGCTTCCAGAGATCTGTGCTGACTCGTCGCGCGAGATCCCACAACAGCGACAAAGGACAAAGCATCGTGAAGCTGCTCGGTATCAGTCTGCTTGCTGCCCAGGCGGCAGTACATGCCCAGTTGCACGTCAAAGCTGTGGAAGTCGCGCGGCAAGGGCTGCCCTGCGGTCCTTGGTGAAACTTGTGCATCTGGTTTCTGCTGACATCACGGGACAAGCAGAGAGCTGTCACCCCATGCAGTACAAAGGGCACAAACTGTCTCTCTCATGAACGGCAGACTCAGCAGAGCATTGGAGGATGGGGGTCTGCAGGCTTGAAAGGAAGCCACGCATGTGGGGATGCCGTCGAAGATTCAGGACCCCAACCCTAAATCAAGCCACGACACACAGCAAGCGAGACTACTTCGAAGTTCAAGCCACCCATTGTCTTGAGGAGCTCGGGTGAAGAGGCTTTGGATTAAATCCAAGTCACAGCAGCTTGAGAAGGTACGCAAGGTCATATGAACCTGCAACATGTAAAGCCGAAAGTATCAGCTACCAGAATAGTGTCTCAGGTGGAGGGCGTCAACGGCTCAGGGCTTTGGGTGCAGGCAGGATGTTGAGCACAGCGGTGTTTGAACCATCCGCCCTCGGGAGGACTCGGAAATCACTGGCAGCCTTCTATACTTGTCTGTTTCGTTTCCTTAGGCTGCATCGTTCCGTTGAGCACATAGGAACGGCGGAGATGGTCGACACGCTCCGACGTCGGTTTTACCGAATGCATTTTGACATGTCTAAACTGACAGACGGACAGACAGACCGGCATACGCACCAATAGACTACATTTTGTTACACCGCGTTAAAAAAAAAAACATGCATGCGCAGAAACCATAAATCCGCACATACCCGCATACATATAGTCAGACAGAGAGACAGAAAAACGTACGTACACATCTAGTCTAGCTTGCATGCGATCCATTCATCATTCCGTACATCCATCCATCCTTACATACATATTCTTATGTAGCAGTGCAGTACAACACAATACAATCAGTACACTGCCGTGCCAGGCCCTATGTAAATGTGCAAACCCTTGCAGGTACAGACTTTTGCGTGGGCGTTCATGCATGTGAACCTCTGCATGCGCACTTTCCAGATCTTAATGTATATACTCATACATCATGACAGCATCCCTTCTGTTTATGGCTACATTCGATACAACCATGCACGCAATTTCCTGGGTGCAGCATGCCCATGCCCGCCTGCGAAGGTGACCCACGAGGGTGCCCGTGGTCCGACCAAGGATGAGTTGGCCAGCTTCTGGCCCAGGACGACTGAGCGACAGGGACTCTCAAACTTTAACCATCTGAAAGCTTCCGGGATGCTACCTGAAAAAACCCTAACACTCCATTAGTTTATATCATGCGACTATGCTATTGAAACAGACCTAGAACTTCAGGGCCTAAATAACAATTCCGGGAAGCTTCTGACTTCTCCTTTCAGTCAGCTTCTGGGGCCCTGAGCCTATGAATGCAACAAGATCCATGTGGGGGTTGACCAAAATTAGGGTTTAGGGGTTTAGGGTTTAGGGGTTTAGGGTTTAGGGTCCCCTTTTGGCACCCTAAACTATAAGGGATATAGTATAATATAGACCCCAAAAGGGCCCGAAATTTGGATCAACTCCCATGTGCCTGGGATGTGTGGTGCTGTTGCGTGTTCTCAGGAGATGCTGTCAGCTGAAGGACATTTTGAGAATATCATATCATATCATATCATATCATATATATATATATATATATATATATATATATATATATATATAATTCTCTGATTTTTTCAGAAAATATCTAGTTCTAAATATTTTCTTTGTAAACAAAGTCTACAGGCTTCCATCCATGGCCGCCGGTCAGAAGGACAACTTCGGGTGGCTATGATCTGCAACCAAAATCCACAACATACGTCCTGAAGCCGTACTCCCTCCACACTGAACACTTAACCCGAATTGTATCCTCTCAACACCAAGCCCTAAACTCCCTCTCCCGTAAACCATAACTTATCGAGCCCGAATTACGCATCCCAATGGGCCCTAAACCCAGATCTGACACTTGGATCGTCAAAACCCTCAACACCGGATATCTCGCGCCTGGATCGATCCCCTCCTTCTTGTGGCGGGGAAAGTCCAGACCTGCCTGGGGTCCAGAGATTATATAAGGGCCTTAATAATTAGAATAGGGCTTTGGAGGCCATTGTACTGTAATCATAATAAGGACCCCCGAAAAGAGCGAAGTTTTTTGTAAGCTTTGGGCGGAGGGGGGCAAAGGAGGACGAAGTTTGGGGGCTTAGGCCGAAACCATAGGAAAACCTCAAGCTTGACAAAGACAACCGAAAACCCTATGCTCTGGGTATTTCCACCCCGCCCCTGAGCCTAAGCCCTTAACCCTAAACGACACCCCTGAGCCCCCCTGCGGCTCGAAGGAAGGCCATAGACTTCTCTGTGTGGAGGTCAACCTGAAGGGTGACTTTTGGGTCAGGGCCCAAGGGGCTGATGGCTTTTTTTGCTGGGTTTGGGCGCTCCAATTGTGGCCTTAGGGTTTCCGTGTCTGGGCGGTTATGATGACCATTTCCTCTTAGTTTTCAAGTTTGTTTCGGGGTGGTCTCAGTGTCTACAAGGTTTTTGACAGCGGCAGCGGGACGGGTTTTGGGCTTGCTGCTGTGGGTTTCGCAGGCTCTGAATCGAAAAGATAAAGTAAGGGAGCACAGGTCTGAAGAGTTTGGGTGAAAAAAGTGGGGCTCAGCGCCTCAGCATGGGCCCGGATGCTCAGCAACAAAGCCTGGTGTTGGTACAACGTGGGCCCTTTTTAACGAGGTCTCTCTGAAGAAACCCCCGAAGCCTACGGTACTACGCCCGATTATTTACAAAGGATGCCTCCAAATTCAACGCACTCACAGCCCTCGTAACTGCTGCCGGGGCGACGTCGATGTCGAACCTCAGTCGGAGCAACTCCAGCACTTTCACGGCTTAGGTCAGGTGACGGCAGCTATCTTGCGTACCCCAATATAAGGGCCTTAATAATTAGACTAGGGCTTTGGGGGCCTATTATACTATAGTTACAAATAAGGAACCCCCAAAGTAGTAGTAGCAGTAGTAGTAGTAGTAATAATAGTAGTAGTGGTCATTATTTAAGCCCCTATAGTACACCCAAAACGAAAACCCAAAATGGTCGAGTCACTTGAGGTTGAAGCTCCAGGCCCCTCGGACCGTTCCATCTGCGTCCTCGGCGGCCGCGAGTTTCAAAGGGGAGGAGGCAGGGGTTTAGGGCGCAGGTTTCGGGGTTCTGGGATTACCTGAACCTATAAACTCTACCATTTTGGGGGCATTCCTGACTAGGGTTTCCTCGTACATTCTATCATGTTATTTTGGTATGCAGGTAGGGTCAGGGTTACGACTCTGCATCCAAGGCACAGCTTTATGTACGCAGTATGCTTCTTGGCTCGTGACAGGAGGCTCCCAGACAAGAGTGCATAGAATCAAGCTCTAATTACGAATCTGATTCCTTAGGTTTCTTATATGATAACAACAGTGATACAGTGAAAAAACTCATCTATCCCAAAACTATATGCTGATTTCTAAGGCCTTCTATGGTACGGCTTCGGCCGCAGGCCTGCGAACCCCAATCCCTAGCCGGCCCTAGCGCACAGCCCGATCGCGCATCTGCTTCTGGGTTCACTCGCACTTTGGAGGTCCGTTATATCCAGGAATCAAGGATGCTATTATCCTGCCTTAGAAGTTTTGGCGCTTCCAACTCTCACATACCATAAGTACCCAAACCCCAAACCCAAAGCCCTGGACTGCCGGTTTTGCTGTCTGGCATCTGCCACCGCTGCTCCCAACTGGATCAAACGAAGGCGATCGACATTCTCGCCTGGGGTTAGCGTTGGGAGGATTTGGAGTTGCAACTCTTGTGGACACGGAGAGGGGCTATGAAGGGGTTTTCCCTGCGGGCACGGCTGCCTTGAACCGGGGCTAGAAGTATGTGTGAATGTGGATTTAAATAGGCTCTTACTGACCCCTCCAGTAATGACCACTCGAGACTCCCCAACCCTAAACGCCAAACCCTCATGCAGCACTATAGGTCAAAGACGACAACTCTCGGCGGCAACCCGTGGATCTTCAGTTCTGCACCCCAAAGCAACTCCGAACAAAAGCAAACATCTTGAGGGTCCAGTGCCTTCTTGCTGAAACCCAACAGTCCACAATCCCGACCGAGGTTTAGGTTTAAACCTTCAGCCCTACCTTAAGTTCTGAACCATGAGCTCTAAACCCCACCCAAACGCTTTGATTTAGCTTTCGGTCGAGGTGCGTAGAGCCTGGTACCGCGCTGAGCGGGCTCCACTGCGTGGCTCCTGTGACAACCGGCTCGACAAGGTGGACATAATTATGCTTGACGCTCTGTAGGAGGTTCATGTTGTTTTCGCAGGCCGGGCCTAGTTCAAGTTTTGAGAGGATTGTAGTGACTCAGATTTTCACGACATGGGCCTTCGAGTAGAGTGTATCCGAACCCTTAACTTTGCCCTTATAACCGGAAGCCGTTTAGGTATGCGGTCGCTGCGGGCTCTCTCATGAGACTCTACTTGGCGGGCCTGCCGAAGAAAGCCTGGGAACTCCATGTCGATCGCCTCGCATGGAAAGAGTCATTGCGATTAAAGCCCTCAGGGTTTCGGGGTTCAGGCGCGATACAGGTCTGGGGAATACTATAGAGGCCTATAAATAATTACCCAATACTATTTTGGGGGCTTCCTTACTACAATTCCACTATAAGGGGCCCCAAAAGTTCCACTATTCCTTTTACTAACGCCCCTAT